CAATCTCTCCATCTTTTCCCTACTTCTCATTGTCTCCTTGTTTGTTTGCCTCCCACTGCCCCTAATTTCTAACTTTCATGCAGAACACCAAATTGTCCCACTCTCATCCAATTACTAACTGAAAGCCAAGCAGGAGGCTCTCACTCCCACCCCATCTCCTTAAGCAATATGCTCTAAACCAAAGCTACAGGTGAACCCTGAAGAACAATGCATCTTCTTGTGCATTTCCTAAACTGAGACCTTGTCAGCACCTGCTAAACCACTTCGTCGACAAAATTTCATGATGTTGATAAATACCATTGAGAGCTATATGAAGGTTGGAAAGCTAATCTCGAATCAGAACAGGTGAAGCAGAGACAACTAATACAATGATACTGCTTGTAATAGCTTTTGCCATGGAGTCCTTGGTAATTTGATGTTTTAAAAAAGAACATATTGCTAAGCCTTTCTTTGGAAAATGGGCAAGGCAGAGCAAACTTGCTTTAGCTTTCATAGTCATGTAAACACAGAATGTTTAATGACTTTGAATGAGACCAAGCTGACCTAAAGATGCTTTTATCAGCTGTGGATTTATGATTGTATTTGTATGTGTATGTGTATGTGTGTGTACACACACACACATACACACATTATTGATTAATGAAGCTTTGACACAATGTGCCAGCCACCACTAAAAGCTTTATATACCAGTGAAAAGCATTAGTCTTAAAGGGCGAGTTTCTGGGTGAGTGCAGATAGATATGACTGTACATTTGGTAAAGGAGGCTGCAACCTTGATTCAACTTCAGGTGGGGAAAGATGGGTTTGCAAAATATCAAGAGTATAGGCTGTTTATATGGCACATGTTAAAAGTGAATGGGAGGATCAATACTAGATCGAATGTGAGGGGCAAGGTGTTCATTTTACTTACAAGGGACTGGAACAGGTAGCTGTAGGAGACGGGGAAATCAGAGAATTCCACCTGAAATTGATATTTCTGCAGTTCTCATGTTCATCCAAGCTCAGGTATGGAAATCATACAAGGGGTTATTCACTATCATTGATTTTTAGTCTAAAAATGTTATATAAATAATTACATTGTTTTCTGCATTTTTAAATCCTTCCGTTGAAATTCACTGGAAATAATTATGAATTACACAATTAATTACTCTAGTACTGGTCATAGTAGACAGTGACATGGATAATGTAGGTTTTAGCAGAAACTGAATTGTAAGGGAACAGAAGCAACACTGGTTGCAATGAACACAGGATGGAATAGAAACCACGACCTCCTTACATTCTTAAGGGAGTCTGCTACACATACACTACAACACTTATATTTGGAAAGGTAATATTTATTGGAACATTCAGGTTCCATACTTAAAACAAAAGACACCCTTCTGTTCTTTCATGCAATATGGTGAAAGGTGGTGGGGGAACTAGAACTGTGTGCTGTGTGTTGAAATTATTTCACAAAATGTCACAAAGGAGAGAAGCATTTCTCCAACAGTTTACCTGGGGTGCCTTTATTGGCTCTGCTGGAAGTGACAAGTCATTGTCCTTTAATCTGTTAAAAGCGATCATCTCTTGTGATGGATATTGCCATTTCTGTTGGTGGGGGAAGAGGATGGATGAGAGGACTAGTATTGGGCTTTGAAAAGCTAAGCATGGTTCCAATTGCCGAAACTAAGCAGAAGGCCAGTAATTAATTTGTAGTATGGGATTGCACTGGCTAGCGATTGTTGGGAACTGACCTGAGTGTTGAGGAGATGTCATGAGAGATTGGTATGATTATGATATAGGATGTCACTGTTATTTATAAACACGACTAATTCATATGGCACATCTTAATGGCAATGCATGTTGCAGTCTTTATTTGATTCATCGCCACATCCTCACAGGGTATTGAAATATTTGTTTTTCAGCCTATGAGTCTTTTTGTAAGATTTCAAAGGGCATCTTTGCCACAGAGACTGTAGCTCAAGCCATTTACTCTCAGCGATCTCTGCTCCAGTTATCAGAGCCAGGAGGCTATGGGCTGCAGCCAGAAACAACCAGGAAGAGACATTTCCCAACCAGCCCAAGCTCTGAAGACACAAAGCCCATCCTGTTGGAACTGCTGCTGAATCTCATGTCCTTCATGTAAAATATTCTGTCACTTTTAATTTTGTGCTTTGTTTACTTTCTCTGTTACTAAAGAAGTGGGGTTTGTTTTTAGCAGCTCTGATTAAGTTTCCATTGATTTTTGAGATAGGAAATGGAACTTTCAGATTTCCCACATGAATTTAAAGCAAGTCAGATATTAACCTCGAGGTAAAACATCTGCCATGATGTTCACAGAATAGGCAAGTACTATCATGCTAAAAACAGCATCTGTGTTCAAAACAAAGGGCTTGAGAATTAGATTTTATGACTCATAGGAATTGATAAAACAGAGGAAACACACTAAAACCCCATTAACTATTGCAATGCTGGCTTTCTCAATAAATAAATAAATAAATAAATATTGCGCTAGCCAAAGGCCATGACAACATCCAAAGAAGGGGGGAGGGAGAGACAGCAGTTGCTACATATGCAGTAAAACCATGATCAAGTTCATCAAACTTTCTTATTACACAGAATAAAAAAGGAATTATCAAATAAAATGTGCAAATTAGATCTCAGAGTCCCCTTTGCAATTGACTGCTAACCCATACAGTTCTTTCTTCCTAATCTTCCTAGCTGCCAGGGCATCAAGAGCCACCTTATAAGTCACAGAGTCATCAGTATCACTCAGCAGTTATTTCACCCTCTCTGCCCTGGTTAGATTTGTTTCTTTCATGAAAAGGGGTTTTATGAACCCGTTTCTTGGGTCTGTATATAGTGTACATTGTAGTAGGTAATGGCAAATGTCCTCTACTCATGGTTGCCCACACAGGTAGAGTCTCTCTTCATAAGGTATTCCATTGTATCGTCCATTAGGACAGCTGAAGGCATAGACTGAAAGTGTAGTTCTGTGAAGGCGACTCTTAATGAGGCAGATGGAAGATTTGTCAAATAACTGGCTCAAAAGTGCATCGTTTTAACAAGCGGAAACCATGGTGAACACTTAGAAGAAGTATCATAATCATAATTAAGTCTCTTTCTGCTTCAGTCCCATAAAGGCAGCCCCTTAAATGCCTCTTATCCATGTTCAGGGACACCTGGAGCTCTTGTAGGTGATATTGGGTCAAGTAGCATGGGATACCAGCCTTTCAGTGTTGGGTCCATTCCAGTTCTTTGTGGCACAAGGCAGGAAATCTCTCATCTGAAAAGGATCTAAGTCTTTTCACATAATTCACATAATTTAAGCACAGATAGTTGATTCTAGCCTGTATTGTTGTCGCACCAACTTCGGCAAAGAGGAGAGCAGCTGATTGGGGAGGGAAAGTACTTTCCTGAGAAATTTGTTCTGCACCATTTCTAAGGCTTTGCTGGCATTTGGATCAATACCCCATACCTCTGCACTATAGAGTACCTGGGAGGGTCACTTTGCTAATAAAAAAATTCAGCACAGGTTCTAATAACTGTCCAACTTTCTCCAAATTGCAAGGTAATTTTCAAGGTAGGAGAGAGGTGGCATAAATAGTTTTCTGATCATTAGCCTAAGTATTAGATTGTTACAATGAGCAGTTAAGTTAGGAAATTCGACATCTGAAGCAGTCTTGCCCCAAGTCAAACCATTGGTGTATCTAGTCATACTCTGTCTCATCTGACTGGCAACAGCTCCCAAGCCTTAGGTAGAAACCTGCTACCTGGTTGTAGCCCCTGATGTAGGTGGCTTTTAAAAAAAGAGCTACATCTGTTCAGTGACCATTAGCCATTAAGGTCCACAGAAAACTTCTACAATCAGAGATGGTCTACTTTTGAATAATAGATGCTGGGACAAACAATGAGGAGGTGGGAGGAGATTTCACTTTGCTTGTGGGATTCCTTCAAGACAACTGCCTGGACTCTGTTGGAAACAAGGTGCTGAGAGAGACAGGCATTTGGTCTGAACAAAACAGGGCTCTTCTAAGGATGAGGAAATTAGAGAAGCCTCTTCCTGCTCTGTGTCATGCCACAGCCAGTTTCCCCATCTAATGCACTATTGTTGATGTGCACGGAACTGAGTCATTTCTATTGAGAGTTGACATTCCAATAGGCAATCAAATCAAACACAACCTCCCAGTTTTGTATGGTGATCTGACAGATGCTTGGCAATTCACCTGTTCTCCTGCTGTCTTGTGGAGGTAGCAAGAGAGAGAGAGAGAATTAATTTATCAAGTCCTGATGGGCCGCTATGCAGTGACAGTGGACTACATTTGGCTTGGGGATTCCCAGGTTATGCAAGCCTTGCTATTTAGAGGCTGGTCCATGCACTGTCAGCTGCAAACTTTGAAAAAATACTGCTGCCGGGTGGCAAATGAATGCTGTTAAAGAATAAAATACAATAAATATATAAGATTGGATCATGTTTTTGTCCAACTTCACTCTTCCCGTGCAAGTCCTTTATTCAAATTCAACTTAGTGTAGGTGACTAAACCCAGACTGATCTGTAAAAATCCATTAAGCAGAGAGTCGATCAATACCTTGACATATTCGTATACAAAAGAGCTTTTGTCAACAAAGAAGAATGCATTTGAAACTGAAAGATTAAAAAAAAAAAAATCACCTTGCTGTTTGAAATGTTTTCATCTCCCACGACCCCCTCTCTAATCGTAAAGCCACTACTAGAAACGGAATACGCTGAAAGACATTCTGGAGATTTCAGAATTACAATAGGAAGGTAAAACAAACCCTGAGCTTTTGATGGATCAAAATTCCAACTAGACTGCCATAACACTCACTTTTTTCCTCCTAGAAAGTAAGGGGAAATGTCTGTGCGTGTTATGGAGGGAATGCCTACGGGTGGCGGGGGGGCAGGTCTGCTGCAGTCGTGAGCAGAGGATCCATGGTTCCCCTTCCTTCCCTCCTCCGTGGCTCGCTTTGAAACAGCAAAGCGGGAGAAGAGCCGCTGAGTGGGGAGAGAGACACAGAGAGCCTGCTTGCTTTAAAGGAGCAAAGTGGGAGAGGAGAGGAGCCGCTTACACGAGTGTAAGCGGCTCCTGTCCGGTTGGTTCCTTTAAAGCAAGCAGGCTCTCTGTCCCTCTCTCCTCCCCACTCAGCTCACTAAATAGCAGCTCGCTAAGCCGGGGATGAGCGGGGAGGAGGGAGAAAAGCAGAGCCTGCTTGCTTTAAAGGAGCAAAGTGGGAGAGGAGAGGAGCCTTCTCCCCTTATACCCCTCTTCTTCATTATTAGCAGCATCCTTCTCCACCCACCCCACACATGCTTCTTCTCCCCTTAAACCTCACTTCTGCATTATTAGCAGCATCCTTCTCCTTGTTCCTTGAGTGTTTTTCCTTCCCTCCCCACTTAAAACGTGGTTACAAAGCACGGATCCACATGGATCCTCAGGATTTTTGCACTGGGTCACCCTAAATTCACCATCAGATCACATAACATGTCCATGGCTACATCTTGCACCAAAAAAATCACACACCCACTGTTGCCTGGGGCCGCAGTGGTGCAAAAACATGGTTACAAAGCATGGATCCACATGGATCCTCAGGATTTTTGCATTGGGCTACTCCAAACTCACTGTCAGATCACATGTCAGTGGCCACAGCATGAACCACAAAAATCATACATCCACTATTTCGTTTAGAATATTTTTTTTCTTGTTTTCCTCCTCTAAAAACTACGTGCGTGTTATGGTCAGGTGCGTGTTATAGAGCGAAAAATATGGTAATCCATTCCGCGAGTCTCTTCGTCTTGCGGTTTTTTCATCTTGCGAAGCATGGCTATTAGCGGCTTAGCGGCTATTAGCAGCTTAGCGGCTATTAACGGCTTAGCGGCGTAGCGGCTTAGCGGCTGTTAACGGCTTAGCGGCTTTAAGAAAAAGGAAACAAACTCGCAAGAACTCGCAAGACGTTTCGTCTTGCGAAGCAAGCCCATAGGGAAATTTGTCTTGCGGAACGACTCAAAAACTGGAAAACTCTTTCGTCTAGTGAGTTTTTCGTCTTGCAAGGCATTCGTCTTGCGGGGCACCACTGTATTTCTCTTGGCAGCATCTTTATAGGAATACAGGAAGCTGCCTTACTAGTCTGTCTAACTCAGGATCATCTACACAGACTGGCAGTGGCTCTGGAGGATTTCAGATGGGTTCTCTTCCAGTCCTACCTGGAGATGCTGGGGATTGAATCTGGAACTTTATGCATGCAAAGCTGATGTTTTACCACTGAACTATGGCCCTTTTGCACACCAGACACTTCCATGAAGCTGACAAGTAGGTCATGAGGACAATAGCTATGTATCATTGTTGCTTCTTACCAGCAGGCATCCAGTGACATATTATTATTATTATTATTATTATTATTATTATTATTAACAACAAACAACAACAACCTTATTATTTGTTAGCACAGCCACCCTGGGCAGCCAATGACAGACCTACCCTCCATGAATGTGTCAAATCTCCCAAAAGACAAGCGGGATAAAGTAGCTATGCAAAACATACAATTTACCGGGTGGACAGAACTTCTTTTGATCAACAAAAAACTGATCAAGGAACAGAAGTTTTGTAATAAAACCTATTGAATTTTAACTTCAGCTATCTACCCAAGCCAAAACACACATGTGTGTCTGCTTGGCAAATGGCAATCAATCTCTGGATAGCAAAACTCCCCCTAAACTTAAATCATTTAACAACTATACGACAACTGACATTCACTCCCTCTGTCCTCTCTGGGGAAATGGTCCATGGATTATGTGTCTTATTTGCATAGCAGAGCAAGTTACAAAACACACAGTTACACAGGTCATCCATGCCTTACTAGTGGGATAGGAGACGAGAAATAGTACATGGGTAGATGAGTCTAAAAAGCCTGGGACACAAATTTTCGCAGTCCTCTAGCAGCCATAGTGGCTCATTTACCAGAAGTAATGTATTTAGCATTATGAAGTAATGTATTTACCCGATTCTGACCAAACGGAGCCTCCTAGGATCCTATTTCTTTTGCCTGCACTCAAACCACAAAAGCAAAGGAAGGGGGTTTGCAGCCACATCCATTCAGATAGCCCTTGGGTCTGATTCTGCAGGGCTCTTCTGTGCTTATGGGATAATCATAACCTTGAAAAAAAACTTGAAGAAGTGTGCATGCACACGAAAGCTTATACCAAGAACAAACTTAGTTGGTCTCTAAGGTGCTACTGGACAATTTTTAAAATTTGTTTTAATATATCTTGCAAAAAACAACAGCTTAAAAGAGGGTTACTTTTAAAACTACAGGTGTTGCAGCAGTTGTCAAGAATCATCATTCAGAAGGTTTGCTGTCATGGATGTATAAACTGTCCAGATTTAGTTGAGCTGAAGGTGCTGTGGGGTGAACACAGGCTAAAGGTTCAGGCTGCCTTCTGACAGGGCTATTTCAAAGGGGACTACGTGTTCACAGTTCTGCAAGAGTTAGCACACTTGCTGCTTGTACCTTGTCTGCATGAAGTGGGAACAAGATTCTAAGTGTGCATTTATTTATTTATTAGACCAGGCAACATCCAAGGACCTGACATGACCAATATCTTTCTTTTCTCAAGACCACACCCTTTCGAAACATTTCTGCCCTCCCATTTTAATTTCCCCTGCCTGTTTGGAGATAGAACGCTTTCATTTAGTAGCCCAGTGAGACCATTTATATAACCTCTTTGTTAACATAAGCTAGCTTATCTCTCCTCCCTCCAGAACACACATGCTTTTCAAAAAGCATTGCCCTACCGTTTGATGAGCACTGCCCTCATTTTCAAATAAATAAATACATAAAAGAAAAAATGGATGGTTTTCAAATTGTGTCCTCAACCTACAAAGCACTAGGCTATGCAATCAACATTTGAAAAGGAGAATGAGGTCCAAGCAATCCCACCCCTACCCTGAAAAAGGCTACCCACATTCACATCATGGAAATGTGGGAAATGACATTGCAAGTCCACAAGAGTTAGCACTAATAGCTGTTTGCAAGTTTTCCTCCCATCAGGAAAGGCCAATTGAGCATGATTCATAAAGGTAATTAATAGCAAGAGGATGGAATATTGAGGAAAGTGAGAAAACCTTTGAAGGATCCATGGATAGTTTACAAAATAAATGTTAAAATAACCATAATTATAATTAAAATACAATAGCGTATTGCAATGAAAGCAAAGATCTAGTTAAAAGACCACTTTGAAAACAGAGGAGCAGAGGTAAACAACTATGCAACTTTATATCAATTAAAATTCCAGAACTGAAGGATACAAATTCACAGACCTAGAACTAAGGCTGCAATGCAACCCTAAAGAGGAACAGCAGAACTTGAAAAAGCAGCAGAGCCGCCGCTACATCCACAGCCCTGTCGCTTGTGGGAAGATGGGAATTTGCCTGGCATTGGAAAGACAAAATGGGTATTGGGCATACCTCTTTTGGGAGGGCCTGTCACAGCCAGGGAAGTCCAGCGTAAAAGGCACTTTCAGCACGCACCATAGACGCATAGCACCACTAAGTATTCACAAGTACCTGAGTCGATGTGCTCACAGAACCCATCTGAAGTAAGCTCCTTGCTATGTGGATTTTCTGCTGTGTTTATTTGCAGCCTCAGTTTGCAAGCCATTCTCCTAGGGAATGTTCCACCCAAGTCTCAGTCCCTAGACAGTTTACTTTTGTTCACCATTCTGTGACAGCTTAATCAGGTTTCACTCAGGTATTCCTCTCATCATTCACCAATACTCTCAAGCCTTAGAAGTTTCATAAAAATCCATATATGTAGCGGGTAGTTTACCATAATACTCCAGCTGTGTGTATATCCCATATTGCTCTCAGGAGACAGAGATGGATCTTCATTGTTCAGTAAAGACTGCCGTGGGAATTCAGAGACATAATGACTTATCTAAAGTATCTGGCTCCCTGTCCCTAAAAAGTGTTATTTCTAATAGTAGTTTGGAAGCAATGATCGGCATGTACCTGAGGGACACTTGACAAGTGATATGGACATTTCATGGGGGAGGGAATTACCTGCAAGCTACATGCAGAACTCATTCTTCTCTGATTTTGGCAGGTGGGGAGATAAAAGGTCACTTGACAGATTGACCAAGTACCGCAGTTTCCCCAAAGCTATCTATATGAGGTATTGGTTGAATGAAACTAATGTGTGACCAAAGGAAGCATTGCTCTGTTTTCTGTAGACAAAGCCTCCTTTTCATAACTCACAATCAATCATACATTAGTAAAAATAAAATATGGGGTGATCCCCATCAATGGCTTTGCTTCTCCAACGCACAGAGTGACTGTGTTTCATTTATGGAATGCAATAGTCCAGAGATACTGCAGCAATGAAAGAGAGGGGAAATGTCGCACAGAACTGAAAGCCTTACAAGTCTCAGTAACAGAGATTTTTTTTGACTTCTCTTTAGCTGCCCCTTACTTATTTTCATGCCTTAAATATGTGCAACGGAAGCGTAAGACATTGCACTCTTAATTGGTTCTTGATGCAGCTTTATGAGGGTTTTTCTGACTCTCAGTGGCAGGAATCTGATTCATAGGAGACCATCTTCTTAGCTTGAGTTTATGCATGATCTGTTCTTTACCAGGTTGCCTGAAAGTCTTGGATCCCCTAGTAATTGCTGTCATCTTCATGCATAATCACACACAAGTACACATTGGGTCAAAAATGGCCAACTTGCTGCCATTTTCATTGTTACGTATAAGACAGACACAAAATATGTAGGTGTTCTTGCTGGTCCATAAAAAAAATTCAAAAGTCACAATAGGATAATATATTTACTAAGACCAACTAAAGTGTCACAAAAGAGTGAGAACTTATTGAGTTCACTGGAAATATCCTTTAAGCTGGATATTAAGCAAAACTCTGGGGCATTGAGGGGGAGGGAGAGAAAAAGCTGGGCATTGTCTTGAAGCTCCAAAGTCTAAAGATGGACAGCAGAAAAGGAAGATAGCATTAATTACAATTTACCCCTCCCAGCTTGGTGTCAACTGTGAATTTGATGAGCCAAGTCATTTATAAAGATGTTGAACAACAATGGGATCAGGTCAGAACCCTGTGGCACCCCACTTCTTCCAGGATGATGAGGAACCA